TAATCTTAAAAAAATTATTTTTTAAATAAAATTTTAATAAAATTAAAATTTTCATTTGTAGTAGTTGCTTTAGGCCTCAAACAGTCTCAGGCCGCAAAAAGTCTTAGGCCGCCCCTGCATAGGCTGGACAGCTCAACACTGGAATGTTAAATCCAAGAGGACAGTGATCTTTAACCTTAGTCTTGCTGCAACTCCATATATATTACCTTTGGAGAGAATGCAATGATCAATTATACGATTGTCTTGCTAGTTTTTAATGCTGTGTTGGAATTTGACTCAAACTTTTTAATCGTTTCAAATGAGAGTTTGTTGGGTAATTAACGTACAAATCTTTAATGAAATAGGAAACATATCGGAAGAGTTTTAATATAGCATAAGTATATTAGACATGTGATAGGAAACATAAAAATCAAATTATATCTAAATAAGTTTTGGTAACAATATTTTATCCCTATAAATAAGGTTGAGTATTTAGTAATCAATTACCAGATGATCAATTTTTCAATAAATAATACATCGACGTAGATTTTTGGTTCGTAGATGTATGTACTGTATATCAAGGTAAGTATGTTGTATCGAACCACATTATATCTTTGCATCATATTTTTATTGTTTTCTTATCTTTGAATTCCTATCTTCCGACAAGTATTATTTGTGTTAATTATCCACTGTCCAAAACCAACAAGTGGTATCATAAAGATTTAGATCCCCTCCAATACCTTTTTTTCTTCAATTCCTCTCAATACAGTGCTAGATGAGTGAAATGTGTAAAATTTTGAATTTCAATAGATGAGATGTTTTCACATTCGTTTTGTTGTTGGTAGAGTATTAATCATTATTAAAAAAAATTTCCACAAGGAAAAAATCTTATCTATTGAAATTCAAAATTTTACACATGTTACTCATGTAACACTGTATTGAGGAAAATTGAAGATAAGAGATAATGAATGGGATCCGAATTCGTATCAAAATTATGTTTCAACAAATGGTATCAGAATCAGATTGACGCTCCTGGTGCAACCAATCAGAGGTAGATTAATGATTTTGGTAGAATAATTAGAGCTAGATTAAAGATCATAGTAGAACAACTAGAGAAGTTGTTGGCAATTCAATGATCAAGTTGATGTTCATGTTGAAGAAGACTCTTTTGCAATGTACGTATAATTTATATTTTATTAGATTCACAAGAAAAAAAATTAAAGTTAGTAAGAAACTAATGGAAGGCTAAGTTGTTTCCTCATTGTTTGAATTTTAAGAATTACCACACGTATTGTGTTAAATATGTTTCTTCAGGTTTTGGGGCTATTAGAGTTGAAGTTGTGGTATTTCAATAGTTTAGAAGTTATTGGGCTGATATAAACTTACTAGTGAAGATTTAGTGTCTCGTGGGTTATGAGTCACTGGGTTTTTTCCTTTGAATGGTGAAGTATTGACTATTGAAACCTCTCAAAAATAGGTAAGATGCGGGTAGAGATGCATAAATGATGCAAGGCAAGACACAGGTTCTTGAAAGACAGAGAGGATTGTGACAAGTCAAATGAATAGGTTTGTACATGGTGCTTGAAAACTTGGTAGATCAAAATCAAGGATGGTAAGCTCAATCTTGAGCATGATCAATCAAATTTGAAGAGTTTGATTCAAGGTGGCTGTTGGAATTTGACTCAAACTTTCTAATTGTTATGAAGAAGAGTTTGTTGGGTAATTAATGTGAGAATCTTGAATGAAATAGAAAACATATTTGAAGAGTTTTAATATACCATAAATAGGTATACTAGACATGTGATAAGAAATATAAAGATAAGTTGTATCTGAATAAGTTTTGGTAACAATATTTTATCCCTATAAATAGGATTGAGTTTTACGTAATCAGTTACCGGATGATTAATTTTTCAATGAATGATACATCGATGTAAATTCTTGGTCCATGAATATAGGTATTATATATCAAGGTTAGTATATTGTATCGAACCACGTTATATCTTTGTATCATATTTTTGTTGTTTTCTTATCTTTGAATCCTTATCTTTGAATTCTTATCTTCTAATAAATATTATTTGTGTTAATCATCTGCTATGCAAAACCAACACTATTTATTACTAAATCTACCAATCTTATCGGGTGAAACGAGTTGACGTTAGATATGTCCCTTGCGGGATATAAGAGTCATTTACTTTTTCACATGCACTCACTTGCGGAATAGTATTGCAGTTTAACACGTGCAAGTCTTTATATCAGCTGGCTGAGGATGAAATTTGATCACTAAAGATTATTATCAACATAACTTACCCAAGAACTTATCATTGATGGGATATATACGTTGTTATCAAAGGGGATCTAGCTCAAATGGTGGATGCTTCACGTTTCAATTGATTTGGAGGAAACTGCAATGAAGTTTCCTTTTGTTGGAAACAATAAAGAGAACAGTGTCCCACTGAAATAATGTGACTACTTCTCCATCAGAAAGAACCCACATCCTTTGCTATTAAAAGTTACAAGTAAATTAAAGAAAAAAAAAGTATTTAATGCTACAAAATTCCCATATTCATTTACCCTTACAATCAACAACAAATCAGCAATAATCTTTACAATGACTAATTTGTAACTGTGATCCCTCCTTCCTACATGCATATGTAAGGGTTATTAATTAAGTTTGTTCGAATTAAGCGGTCTTTGAAATCTTGATTGTAATAATACAAACCTAAAATGCACGCAATCCAGTACTAATCACTTAAACTTGGGTTTTATGGGGGTGATTTGAGACTCTAACCGAAGGACTCGTGGGTTTATGTCTTGTCTTTTGTTTGATTCTTGAACTAATCCATTTCCTACCCGTTGTCTTCCTTGCTTGGCTCTTCCTTTAAGGGTTAGTTGTGTAACAAGTGCATAATGTCCACTAGAAGAACATTGGATAATACCATGTATAGAGTATCCATGGGATCAGTTGATGTAAATAGTTTGGACTGAACAATGGGACTGATCATATGATATCTTCCATAAGCCAGGCAAAATGATAACCTGTTCACAATAATCTTGAAATTGACATTGTTTTGTCCACCTAACAAATGGGTGAATCTGATAATCCTTAACATTTTACAGAACTATTTAAAGACCTTTGAGAAAAATTATTTCTCACGGTGAATGTGAATACACAGTGTTTGCATTTGATGTAAATAGAAGAATTACAAAATGTATTTCACATTTTACTGGATGTGTACAATGCAACAAAAAGGATAAGCAGCCAAGATAAGACAGCTATCACTATGTACTCTGAAACAATACCACTTGATCTAATCGTCCAAATATCTAATTCTTGTAAGCAAACAGGCCAAACATCTTTCATTATTGTAGTTTTGGACAGATTCAACCACAGTTTTCTAGCAACTAATTATAACCAGTGTTTTGGCCTTTACATCATCAATTTTTTCATCTGTATATCACGGTGTCCGCTAGTAGTACGGTTATTTCGTGCTACCCTCCTCCTCCTCCTCATCACAGTACAATTATCAACATGACGATTCAAGTCTCACGCACTTGGTAAAGTACCTTTGGAGTGGTGAATAAGCATAAGATTTAAATTAAATTTTCATCTTAAATTTTTTTAAAAAAAACTGCACGTAAAGTGGACAATGTTTTACTTTTACATATTGAGTCACGGATGTTACAATTAGTGTTCGAGTTGTTAACACGTTTTAAAACTATGCAAATTTGGTTGAAACGGACAATATTGTATAATGCGGGCAGGGAATCTTCTCCAATAGGGGCAACAATAGTCAAAATTTTAAATGTTCACAAAAAATATATTTTTATTAATAAAACTTCAATTAAAGGTACAACTCATATACATGAGCGATGTAGAAAAACAGCCAACAAAAAAAAAACACTCACTATAAATTTATTTATAAGACCTAACAAAAAAAAATTGAACAAAAAAATTGAGTTCAATCATATATTGAGTCTATAATGAGAAAATCCAAATTGTCGAACATCCTATAAATATTCATAGTTTCTCCTAAAGAGTTTTCATATTTTGAAAGCGTTGTATGATAATTTTATTATCAATGGTACTTAAAATTATTTTCTCGACATATGTAACCAAGCAATTGTTCATCCATTGATCTCTCATTCAATTGCTCAATTAATTTTTTAAAAAATTAATTTGTTCAGTCACACACTTAGTATTCATCAGTGAATTTAACAAATAATAGAAACTAACTTAAACTACATTATTCTATTAAATTAAACCTAGATATAAAAATTACTTAACCTATCACAATAAAATTATTCAAACCACTAAATCAAAAAAATTTAATCTAACACATAATGGTGGACTATACGCCTCAATTCCAATTCAACATATAAGAATAAAACAAAAGAGAGGGCTACAAGCCCTAATTCCAATTCAACATAAAAATAAAACACGAGAGAGGATTACAAGCTCCAATATCAATTAAATACCTAAAAAATAAATCATAAAAGATGACAACAAGCCCCAATTTCAACATATAAAAAATAAATAGAGGACTACAAACCCCAATTTCAATTCAATACATAAAACAATAAAACACAAAGAGAGCTACGAGCCCCATAAATGTTTTAAAACTTTTTAGCGGGGCAAATGTCTAATAAATTCTAAATTTTTTAAAATTATACTTACACCCCACATTTTTTTAAAATTCCAGTGGGGCAACTGGCCCCACTGTGAATCCGCCGCTGAACGCGGGTAGAATAATTAAGGTAGTTACTTTCCAAAAGATTCTCGGATCCCATGCAGCTTCCAGGAAGGAGAACGCTGAATGTCCTTGTAACACTCATGAAAAACAAAGGACTGCACTCAAAGAAAGGTGCAAGAAGCTCACCACCACCATAAATTCACCTTCTTATATACATAATATGCCTTGTCTGGCTTCAATGGCTACTCCTATCTAATTAGCTTCTTCTCTCTCATTTCTGTACCTTGTGGCTCTTGCACTTTCATTACAATCAACCTTTTTTGTCTGAAAATGGCAGGTGAAGATCCAGTTGTTTTCGAAGACTACTTTCCGTCGATGATTGAAAGACTGGGTTCCGATGGATTCATGAGAGAGCTATGTAATGGCTTCTGTTTGTTGATGGACGTTGAAAAAGGGCTCATCACGTTCGAGAGCTTGAAGAAAAACACACTGTTACTAGGATTGTATGATCTTGGAGATGATGAGCTTGTGTTCATGTTAGCAGAAGGAGATCTGGATGGTGATGGGGCTCTGAATCAGATGGAGTTCTGTATCCTCATGTTTAGATTGAGTCCAGGGTTAATGGATGGATCGAAGCGAGCGATACAAGAGATGGGTGTAAACTATGTTATGTAAAACTCTAAAGTTGCCGTGGCCATGGCTTCTTTCCATGTGTTTTATTTGTAAGAATGTTTTAAGGATTGAATAATATGAAAATTAATGGTGTCTGAATTTGCTAATTTTCCATACAAAAACTGAGGTTTGTTGTGGTTCAATAATAGACTTATCAGCCCCAAGATACTCCTAATTCTTTTATTAGATACTTTAATTTTCTTTTTCCACTTCAGCTAATTAGCTTTGGCCGAGGGCAAATTGAAGTCTTTTAATCAAGCTGATCATATAGATAAATTTGTTGAGAAAAATAATAAATAGGACTTTCCATGTTTTAGGAGTTATATTTTATGCATTTAATTTTTGTATTAGTAGGTCATTAGTTTGATAAAGTAATTGTGGTATTTCAATTCTCCAAATAATGGAGGAGCTGAGTATTTATAATTTTTATTTATGTAGTGGAGATAGTGGAGTTTTATTGTATGCCTAGGGTTATATATATATATATATCATATGTAATCAGTTCATTTAGGCATGAATGAATTGAAAGAGTTCATCCTTTCTTCAACATTATTCTCTTCCATTCCCTGCAAGAAATTTGACTAATGCCGGCGTTTGTAAACTCCAGGAAAAGTTTGTGAAACGTCGACAAAAACATTTTTCGGCATTTAGGAAAAACAACAATTAAACAGCTGTCGGGAAAGCAACCGACGTTCAGTATGAGAAAGTTAAACTGGCGTGCCGTCTTATTCGCCAGAGTCCGGTCGTCGAAAAATCTAATTTCCAGTGTTTGCTAAACATCGGCAAAATTTAGTTTTTTTTTTCCTTTTATATTTTGCTGATGTGTGCATGGTTCTGATTGGCTTAATACTTAGCATATTTTTCTCACAATAAAACCTAAGCAATTAAATTATACATAACATCTCCATGCACTAAAATATCCAATTCAACCACATAAAACCAGTGCAATCAACTCCACTAAAATAGGTAATATTGTATCCAAATACATTCAAACAAAAAAAAAAACCTTTCCAACCAAGTTAAAATAAATAAAAAAATAGCCCAATAAACTTGTCTTGCTGCACTATTTGTTTTGGGTAACCTGAAATTAAAGAAAAAAAAAACAACCATATAAGCACGAGAAAGAGTACAACAAATTCTTATTGCATTGTTATATACCAAATTCTAAAAAACCGTAATTGTAGACGACATTGAGATCGCTTTTTGAAAAGAGTGGTGTCACAGTTCTTTCCGTTGGGATTAGGTGTCACACTATTAAAGGCTATCTCGAGATCAAGTTGTGCAACACCAAAGATACATTTGAATTCATTTTAAAGCTCATAATAACATTAGTAATGTACCTGATGAAAATGATATGAATGACGTTAAATTATTAGCAACAATTATTCCAAGAATATAAGTACCACATGTATATTCTTCCGGAAAGAATCAAGAAGAAGAATCCAAATTCGTTACATAAGTACCACTGCTCTTTACTGGTACATTGACCAAGCTCTTAAGCCTTGTAATAGTACAATAATTTAGTTTTTTTTTTTTTTTATCTATCTTCTTAAGTGATAAGGAGAAAGAGAAAAAATAAATAAATTAAAAAATACCAAAAATATATCTTGTGTATCGCCAAGGACTCGTATGCTTGTATACATGTACACATTTTCTGTTGACCAATCCCAGACACAGAACCCAAGTCTATAAACACATATTTGACTCTAATCAATTTTTTTAGGAAGAGTGGCTTAAGAAATTTGTCAACCCATTTTTCTAATTTTTAAGAATTTTGAATTATTAAATTTGTTATTCTTCAATCATATTCGACCAAATATCTCCAGTAACTATCTTATGTAATGTAATTATCCGTAAACTCTCTCTAGCAACCTTTTTTTAACTTACAAAATAATAGGTGAAAGAAAGTGGAAGGTGAAAATGATTGGGAGAAGCACGAGGTGGAACGCTACTATCCAACCACGGTTCTACCTTCCTGGCAATATGTACTCCAACATGATTTGAATAATCTAGGTTCAAGTTCTCTCTCTGGTTCTACCATCATGGCAATTTGTAATCAATGATGACTTGAACAATCTAGATTCCAATTCTCTCACCCTTTTTTTTTTTTTTAAAAAAAAAAAATTTGGAAGGGGGAGGGAGAGGGGAAGAGGAGTTGAGCCCTTAACTTCAAAAAAATAAAATTTTTACAAGATAAAGAGTATTCCTAAATTCTAATCCTCTCTCCCTTGCTGTTTATGTGACATCGAAAAAAAAGCACCTTGACTNTTGGAAGGGGGAGGGAGAGGGGAAGAGGAGTTGAGCCTTAACTTCAAAAAAATAAAATTTTTACAAGATAAAGAGTATTCCTAGATTCTAATCCTCTCTCCCTTGCTGTTTATGTGACATCGAAAAAAAAGCACCTTGACTCGTGCACCAAAAGTAGATGCTTGGCTAACTAAGTCAACAAATATGAAAAGACCGACAATGCACCTTAGATCTCAATCACACTCCTAGGAAAATGCATACCCACATTCACACAAACACTCAAATATACACACATATATATAGTTTCTAGTGGGTATTTTTAATGCCAACCATTAGATGATCTAATAGTTCCTAACCAAAAATGACCAACATTAAATGAAATAACCTACCAAAGTAATCTCTTTATCAAAAANTTTTTAATGTCAACCGTTAGATGATCTAATAGTTCTTAACCAAAAATGACCAACATTAAATGAAATAACCCACCAAAGTAATCTCTTTATCAAAAAAGAAATCTCAATGTAATATTAATAACAATCCTNCTTTTAATGCCAACCATTAGATGATCTAATAGTTCCTAACCAAAAATGACCAACATTAAATGAAATAACCTACCAAAGTAATCTCTTTATCAAAAAAGAAATCTCAATGTAATATTAATAACAATCCTTATAATATTAGAAAAGTATTTTTAATTTTTTAAGTTCAATTTTAAACAAAAAAAATCTTATCAACTGGATCAAATTAATAAATGAACCAGCTAGTACCCACTTCGTCATGAATCCTAATGCTTTAGTTCTACCAATTTTTGCACTGGTCAAATTGAATCCTTATGTTTTGTACTCACATATACCATGATGGTCACGAATAGAACAATCTACCATTTATGCATAGAGTTCATAACATGGTCACGACTACCATTTATGCATGGTCACGAATAGAATACCCCCTGAGCATAAACATCAATGCAATAAAAAGACAATCTTAAGTTTATTCACACATTCTTGCCAACTCAATTTTTTTAATTAGCATTTCCTATGAAATTACTTCCTCTATTATGCTTGAATGTGCTTGAAAGATCACGATATAAGACATAAATTAAAAAATTTAACATAATTCATAATGAACAAATTTATCTGAAGGTGTGAAATAAAACATATCTTTAACAGTAATGTCTATATTTTTAGGGGGAGTTTGTTTCGCAAGATTAAGGGGGATTGGGTTAAAATTGTCTATGGGATCCACTTATCCTTGCTTTAGATGTGTAAAGTTGGGTGGAATTTTCGTTGTGAATTGAAAAACTCGGCCATAGTTTTTGACCTCAATATCCCCTCCAAGTCGGACTATTGAAATCCATGAAAAGTTTAGGATTAACAAGCTCTTACCAGGATTGGTTCTCAAAATTACTAAAACACCCTCAACAATAATTTTCTAGGTTTTATCTACTGTGTCTCATCACTTTCCTCTCTCCATCGCTGCACAGACAACACCTCCACAGCGACCAAGCACCACCAGTGCCCCACCCCTTTTTTATCTGCCTCTCCACTGCAACGCCATCGCCATCACAAACGGCACAACAGGCATCGGTGTCATCTGCTCTCTCTTGGCTCTCTTTCTCCCTCTACTGTCTCTCATCACTTTCCTTTCTCCGACAACACCTCCACCAGCGACCAAACACCACCAACACCTCTCGATGTCAGTTATTACTCCTCTCACATCTCTCTCCTCTATCTCTGTTAAATGCACACACACAAAAACCCCAAACCCAAACCCCCTAAATTTTCTACCCCACCCCCTCCCCCCCAAAAAAAAAATCCCGCATTTGATAGACGATGATCTTTTGAGTATGGTGAGAGAAGGTGATATTAATGGTGATGGGGCTCTTGATCAAATGGAGTTTTGTGTATTGATGCTTAGATTGAGTCTTGATTTGATGGAGTTTGAGGTTTGGCTTGACCACGCTAATCAAGACTTATTGGTTGGATAGAAACTAAGGTCAAGTTGATGATTTAATAATTAGTTGTTCAATGCATAGGAGGTGGGTTCTTGTTGAATTTGGAAATAATATTTGTTGACAATTTTTTTTAGATTTTATTTTCATTATATTTGGGAATTAACATGCTTGATCATGTTGAAAATCACAAAGTGAGTGTAATCAAATTTGAAACTTGCATTGGGTATTTGATTTGGTTACCCAAATTTACAGATGAGATCAGATTTTTTTGCTGTTCATATATGTTTTCTAGTTTCATATGTGGGATTAGGATGCATTTGTTATATGTTGCGTGTATGGATGCCTTCATTTTGTATGTATACTTGAAGGCAACATATGATATGACTATATCGGTATGTGTAGTTACGTAATATAAAATATGTTTATGTGATATTGAATTTTTTATTTCGTTGTTCTTAATTTTTTTTTTCAAAATAATGTGGAACAATGTTACGAGGAAATTAATGTACTTGCACTTGTGAACTTTTGGGAAAATGAAAATTAAATTATTTTCGGTATTTCCCCTTGGTGACACAGCTGTCACATATTTATGAAATATTAAAAGTGGACAACATGAATAAAATTTCATAGCAAACATTGACTTTGGCTTAGATAGGATTAAAGGTTAAAATTGTCATGTGAAAGTAAAGAGATTTGACCCAAAAAAATAATGGTTTGTCCGTGAGCCCCATAATATAAGAAATTACTTTCCAAATGAGGGATAGAATTATACCACTTCATTATCCTAGTTATTGGATTTTCA